TAAACTATTGTCTTCTGTTAAAAAAGGTTTTATAGCAGCAACACGAGAATGAACTCTGAAGTCGTAGAGGGCCCTAGCTGCCATCGACATACTGCATTGAAGATTCAAATCTTTCACAATTCTGTGCAGGGACTTGCGTCTTTTCTTCAAAGCTTTTTTTAATATAGCTTTTTTTTCTTGCTTCTTTAGAGTAGATGACGTCCAGACCTAGATAAATTTTCGGTTTTTTTTTGGTCCTTTTGTACTTATTCAAGAACCTCCTACTGTTGTGAGGTCACAGCCAATTTGTTTGGCAACCTTCTCAGCACTCATTAATTTAATAAAAGCAAGGATCATTTCTTTCTCTTTTTCTGTCATTTGGGTTCGTGGCATTATCAAAAGAATGTTGGTTTTTTTTTTAAAAAGCTAAGTATTTAGACGTTAGAGAAGCAAGAAAAAAAAAATTGCTCCAAATTATGTAAGTATGGGATAAACACAATCATTTTATTTGCTCATGTGAGATGATCTGCAAATCGGACGTTACTTTTGATAGCTACTGTACATACGTACCTATGAATGACGTTAAAATTATCATTATTATTAATCAATTTAATTATGTATTGTTATTATTGAGACGATAAATAAATTTTTACCTTCTCTTTTTTAAATCCAAAAATAAGAATTTACAAGTAACGATGCAAAATTCTTTGCAGGCACGTATATAATATTATGAACAATGTTTTAAAAAATTTAAAGGTATTAATAAATTATATAATACAGAACCAAATTAATTCATCAAATTTAACTACACCATTTTGGCAAATACTTCTATCAAATTACTTATACCAAATTGAAAACTATAGTGAATTAGAACCCAAAATTACTTCTGAAAATATAATAATTGGGCAAATCATCGTTGATTTATTCACAAATATTGATACTAAAGATGGTGCTTTAAAGTAGCTTGAAGAGTTTCAACAAAAATCAAAAACTACTATACGTTTAACTTGAACTTACCCTATTAAAGGAAACAAAATTATTTTTAGAGTGATGCGGCACTGTATTTACAGTCATTTGTAAGGCAAAAAAATAAAAACTGTGATATTAAAAACCTATATAGTTTGTGAAATAGAAATACAGAATACAATGCGACACTTAATCTTCGATTAAAAAATAATAATTTGCTTAAAATTAATTTACGTTTTATATATAATTACTTATCTAATTTAGCAGCTTCTTTAAGCTTTCAATCAGTAGAACTTGGGTTCAAAACAGATATATTGAATTATTTAATATGGGGTATTTGGCAGCCAGTGCATATTATATCTATGAAGATGAGTTGTATTTATCTGCTTCTGATCATAATGAACTTGCACAATTATTGGCAGATAGATCAAAAAATCTGAATAATAGATTTTTAAAATATCTTTATAGTAAGTTTCATGTGACTCAGTTGGGTGATTGAAATAGCAAAGGAATATTTGAGCAATTGCAAGAGGTTGTTAATTTTTATAATAATTCTGGTAAAGGAAAAGCTGCACTTCAAATATATAATTCAACTACACAAAGTTCTTTTATTTTATGTGTTGTGACGAATTTAATAATGAGAATTCACGAAAAAATTTATCAAGCTAGTAAATTATGCTACTTTGACGTATCCGCTTCTTTTGATCTACTAAATATATCAATTTCACTTCTTTATACAAATTGTGTTGCCAGTATGCTACTATTAGAATTATTTTTAACTTTAGATGAGGCTGAAGTTACTATTGAAAATGTGATTAATTTATTAAAGACGATACTGCCAAATAATGCATTCTATAGATGCAGTCTACAACTTGGGCCAGCCATTATTATGACTGATGATTCATATGCAGAGCGTAATGCTATTTCGCTCTGCTAGCCTAATTGTATTAAACTGTTATGTATTTTTCATATCTTACAGGCACTTTGGCGATGGTTATATAATTCTAAACATAAAATTCACAAAAATGATAGATCGCCAATTATATTATTATTTAAAAAAGTTTTATATTTACCTACAATCTCTGAAACAAAGCTTAATTTTTTTAATTTAAAAGAACAATATTTTACAAAATATTCACAACTCACTACATATCTTACACGCTTTTGAGATTGATAAGCAGCTTAGGCACTATCATATTGATAGTATTTACTACTTCATGAAAATTATACTAATAATTATGTTAAACAAAGCTTTGGTATCATCAAAGATATTGTTTTTGCTCAAACTCGGACATACTGTATAATGCTATGCAAATTTTTTAATTTATTACAGAAAACATAGAACATTTTTATGAACAAAAATTAATAGCTATTGCAAACCATCATCCTGGCCATCTTGAACTATCAAAACAGTTTCTTAATCCTGGATGATAGCAGATTGATCAACAAAAAATATATTTTGATAATTCAAGCAATATGTACGTTGTACCTAGTGCAAATATGGATGAATTGTATATTGTTGATCTATCAGTTGGAACGTGTACATGTCTTGCAGTACTTGGTGAAACTCCTTGTAAATACCAGGCTGCGGTTGCAATTAAATATCAAGCAGGATCTTTTAACTTTATATCTGCTCTTTCACTTAAGGATTGTGCAACTTATAGATATATTGTATGTAGTAAGTTTTAAAACAATTATATTTAAAAATATATAATATATATAATAATACTAATTATTAATATGCTAAAAGGTATGGTCGCAAACTAGCGAAACTGAACGGGACCGAAGTGTTTGGCAACACTCCACCAACCAGGCCGCCGGAAGAGTACTGGAGGAAAAGGACCCAACCGTGGGGACCAGGGGCAGGTCA